CCCCCTCCCCCCTCCCCTGCTTGCCACTGCCATTTTCCCTGGGTGCCCTGGGAGTGTGAAGGGTAGGGAGCTCCACAGCTCATCCTGTCCCACTCCATCCAGGCTGCCCCAGGAACAGGTCTCAATCAGAGACAGTAGTCGCAATGGCAGGTGGTAACTCTCTGGTACCTCACATGAAATTCCAGTAAGTAACTCACCTGCTGCTGGAGAACACCCAGGAGGATCAGGAAGGAAGGAGGAACCTATTAACTGCTGCTGCCACTGTCCTAAGATGAGTCTGGCTCCCCACAGAGCCCAGTTGAAACTAGGCAGGAGTGGCTGTAGACCTCCCCTGACCCTCAGGGCAGCCAGAGACAGCAGGTACAGTGGTAGCAGCAGGCAGGGAAAAGGGGGAATTGGAGGGGAAGGGAGGTGTCACTGAACATTGATGGAAGGGGGGAGGAATGAGATTCTTACCTAATTTATGAACTTAAAGTCCCCAGCTGCTGCTTCTGTGTTGTGGTCTAAAAGGGAGGCATGAATGCACCATTGAACCCCCTCTGCATCCACCCTTGCAATGGGGCAAGAGATTAGTATCTTCTGCTACAGTATATCTGGAATATCATGTGATGTAACTAGTAAGCACAGACTAAAGGGACTATTAAACAAGAAAGAGGTCCTAAAGGATTAGAGTCACTAGGTGTGGAAGGAAGGAGTTTCAGCATAGTCTCTTCACTAAGGGAGGGTTCAGAAATAGAGTTTGGGGAGCTGGACTGTAAGATTACTGATTCTATATCTCAGACTATCTGTACTTAATAGTTGGAGTTTTCCAGGGATCTTTCAGGAACAATGCTGCTTATGTAGAAAAGGAAGTGTACCACTGAGGTGTCAAAATCTGCTGATAATATAAAATAGGCTGGATTAATTAAGATCAAAAGGATTTAAAAGTAGATTACTGAGCAACATTGAGTTACCAGAGAGAATTCAACATAGAGGATTGTAAACTAATGCACGCAGGAAGAAGCTATTTAAATTTATTCATACTCATTGATGGGTTCTGAAAGAGTTGTACCCTCATAGGAAAAGCAGTAAGGAATGACTGCAGACAGCTCAATGAAGATATCAGGCTCAATGCACCCAGAACATAAATAAGGGCCTATAATGTATAAAAGTAACATGTTGGTGGTGAGCTACTTGCTTACCTTATTTAGATAAGATAAGACTGAAACCTGAAATCCTTATTTGGAAATGTCCTATTAATTTAATGAGAATTTAGGATTTAGTCTATTGACAATTATTACACTTACATTTGTGGTAATTAAACAATATTACTTTAGTATTTTCAGAATTTCCTTGGGCTTAACTATAGTACACTATTTTCACATATTTTTAGTTAACCCTGGTCAAATAAATCAACGATTTAAGAAACAGAAACTAAAGGAGTTACCTTTAAAAATACTGAAACTTTCTGATTACTAATCATTTCCCATTTTACTTTGCCTCAAATATTAAGATATCTGTTATTTTGGAGCTGTGTAATTACATTTCCAATTATTTATATTCCTTAATCTCCTTTATAAATAGATATATTTTATAGCATATGTCAGATTTTGTTTATGAAAGGAATATAGAATGAGAATTATTAAAACCATTAAAATAATCAATGCAGTCTCCCTTGAATACTGCATCTTGTTGCTGTAGTCATAATAAAAAGACATAGCAGAGAAAAAGTAGAAGCTGACTTACATACAGTGAAAGTGCAGTCTGCAAACATTATACAAGTGTATGCAATCACCACATATGCCCTTTGATGAAACAAGCTGTGCTGTAAGTGTGGATCTAGAACTATTTTTCTCCTAAACACTTGATGTGGTGGGTCTTGCAGCTTCAGAAAAATGCAGAATCTAGATTGTCGCTAACAAAAGTAAAATTACAAATCAATAAACTGAACCTCAGCTGATGAACTAAAATTACTCACCTTGTACAGTAAAGTGCCTACCTATGTTGGATTACATACACAAACACTCTTATTCATGTTCAAATGATCACAAATACTGAAATATCAAAATTCACTCTTGGAAGATAGTAAGTCCAGCACACACTGAGCAAACTCAAGGCAACATACTGTACATACGTATTCCTTTTCTTGCTGTGTTGCTCTTATTTCCTACACCTATGGCAAAGGTAATTGATTAATACTGAGGAAAGAACACTTTTGCTAATGCAGGCATTCATTTTTTTAGTATTATAGACCCAGACCTGCCCTTTCAGAGAACAGGGTAAACACATATGCGTATATTATATCATCATCATTTTAGTAGTAATATTATTAATGTACTCACCAATTCTTTTTGGCCAGATCTTCATTAATCACCTGTGGTTTTTAATTCCCTTCCCTTGACCTTCCATGCAATTTCTAATAGTCATATAGAAAGATTACTGCCTACAGCTGCTTTGAGAGTAAATGTCTCATTTTAGACTTGAAATTTACTTTTTAGCAACAGACTATTCTGCAATCAAAACCTTTCATTCTATTCACATTAAAACTTTATTAACCTTTTCTTCTACTTAATTAGTCCTTTTCTCATATACCAATTCAACAATTATTCTCTGTGTACTCTATTAATCTCATGTTAATTTGATGTCCATCAAACTTATTTCTTTGTTTCTTTTTTCAGGCTATTTTATTCCAGGTAGTCTGCCAGTTCCACAAAAAATTAAAATTTAATTGAAAAATTCTCTATGGAATTTATCACGCTTCCTCCTGTGATACTTGTAATGTAGAGACACTAAGTAATCACATCTGGAGTTTTTGGTACATTCATTTACATTTAACATATATTTCTATATTCCATGTTTACATTTCCATATTCACTGACTCTAAATCTCTTAAACTGCAAGTAGAGTTGGACGTACCAACCCCTATTCTCACAGACAGCTCCATTGTGTGCTTAAGGATTTAGGCTTGCAAGTTCCTCTGCAGGATAAGGGACTATCTTACATAACTATGCCCAATCATTTCATGGGGTACTTTCATTCTAAATCTCACCAAAACCCAGAAACAGATGCAGGTCAAGTGTGAGAGGGTGATATTCCCATGGAAGTCAAAGCAGGTATGGCTCATTATACCAAATCTATAAAAGAAAACCTGGCAAATGGTGAATATTATGTTTATCAAAAATTGCTGTTTTATTGATCCCAAAAATAAGTGTGGGTTTAGCTGATGTGGTTTTGGAATAAACCACACTATTTTGGAATAGTTCTGACTGGAAAAAAATTGGGAATCTACAGTTATCATCGTAGTGGCAGTGGATCACAATTTATTTAATAATTCAGCATTTAGGACACTTTCCAAGGATGAGGGATCCAGATTGAAATCTCTCATTTTCCAGAGGAAACTTGAACTGGCATCTCACACCTTGAAGACTGGCTCCTTCTCTCAGCTGCAACTGTTTACAACTTCCACTTCACATGCAATATTGAAATACTCATTGGAGAGGTGGAGAAGAAGGAAAGAGAGAGGAACTACAACCCTGAAGCCTGAGGGTTTGGACAGTCCTTGAGAAGTAAATATTTTATTCCAGTGAATATATGATTATTACACATAATGCAATAGCTTCAACAGGAGAGAATGAAAGCAACACATGCCAAAACAGTCCATAGCATGACTTGGCAACATTTTGGAGTGTGGGGGTGCTTTAATGGAGCTTAGCACTTGACCACAGGCCACTTCCAACCTGGTCCATACAATCCACTGCAATCATCACTTCCCCCCACTCTCCCCAGTGCTGCTGGTGCTTTTTCCCACATTGGGGTCAGCTAAAACAGTCATTCTGATAGGTTAAGTTGTGAATAGGAATGGTGGAGCTTTTTGTGGGTTGAAGAGGGGTGCTTGTCACCATCTTCCTTTGTATTTAACTGTATGAAAAGAAAAGGAAGACATTGCAGTACTGTTTGGGGAGACTTTTTTTTTAAATAAGTGAAATACAGTTAGAGAATTAAAAAAAGTCACAAAAATAACATAAAATACAGTATTAACAATAGATTGAATGACAGAGATTAAGAAAATCCCCATAGTACTGGAAAGGGAAAAGATTTTGGATGATCGATAAACTAAGCTTGACATGAAAGCCAAGATGAAATCTATGACCCAGCTTAAAATTGTCTCCAGTTCTTTCCCACATAAATTAATTCATTTTAATTTGCTGCAGAGGGAGAAAATTTTCTGTTAAAATAAGTGAAAGTAACATCTATTTGATCAAAGTATTATATTAATCATAGTAGCTTTTTGATCTGGTCAAAGATTTTGTTTGTGTTGCTTCTAAAAATAATTCATGAATAATTAAGTTTTGTTTATACCTGAGGATTTAATAATGGTTTGTTTAGTATATAAGAAATAAATGGATTTCTGGAACATGTGCCCCAAAGTATTATCCTTTTTTTGGATGGATAGATATATAAAAAGCTGGTTGGATATTTCATGTTTGATAATTCATTCAACAAATTTCAAATGTCTTTCTGTTCCCAAAATCATCCTCTGTTATAAACTCTTGAGCTGTAATTATCCCAGTCAAATTATTTTTCACAAAATATTTGCCACATACATTTAAAGACTGTTTCCTAGCCTGTAGCTTGCACTTTCTTGAGAGTATTTCCTAGCTAAATTTTAAGCGAGATCAGTTAAAGATGGATGTAATTATAGGAGTGTTTTGGCTAAGTGAGGTAAAAAGGGAGCTATTTTTAATATTTTTCTTTAAGTACTAGTCCTCAATATCTTAAATAAACTTCATACTAATATTTATCTCCACACTCAGCTTTATACATCTAACATTTAGGCTTTCTGTTAGTAGATGTTTGCTGGTATTCTTATCTCTACCTATACACCTGGAGTCCTTCACACCTTCCTTATGTGGAGTTTCTAAATTGCAATTTAAAAAAACTATTTACATATCCAATCACTTTCTTCAGAAATGCTGTCCAGATTTTTGGCTTCTCACATCTAGAATTTTTAGTAGTATTTCTTGCTGATTTCTTCTCTGTTTTGGGGTTGTAAAATTTCATTGAGTTTGATTATCCATATTCCAATTATTAGCTAGGACAAAAAAGAGAAGCTTATTTTAAAATACAGAAAAAGAAAAAGCCGTCCTTTCCTAAGTTTTATCAGCTTTATTCAAAATACCATGGATATAAATTATCTCTAGGCATTCTCTGGATATACCTTTATATTTCAAACTAGAGGGTTGCACACTTTGTAGCTTCTGTAGACTGAGCTCTTTGTACCACTCTCCCTCTCCCCTACATGCTCCTTGTATCTTCCATTCTCCTACCAAACTCCTCTCACACTACCTTCCTATCCACTTAATTTAGGGACTGTCTGAAATCTCTTTTCTACTTTTTCCCTCATTCCAAGTGCTCTGTGCCTCTCCTCATTTTCCCCTTAACTCCTGTTTTCCCCTCCATCTTTCTCTCTCATGACCTTTTTTACTCCACCATTACTATTTATTAGGGCTGCGCGAAATTTTGCCCACTGTTTCATTTTGACACTGTTTTGACTCATTTTGAGTTCAAAACAGTGAAACTGAAATGAAATGAAGGGCTTTGAAACAGCCTCGAAATGAAATAAGGACAGTTGAAATGTTTCGAAAGTTGTGAAACGTTTCAAGTTTCAAAGCTCAAGCTGGGCTTGCCTTCAGGGAAACAGAAAGTAAGGAGAGGGAGGGGAAGAGTGGGCAAGGACTGCTCTTATATAGACTGTGTCACTGGCCAGTGACTGATCCTTCCCTGAGGTCCCTTCCAATCCCAGTGCACTGGGGGAGGGATGGAAAAACAGCATAAAAGGCAGCATTGAACTGGCCTGCTTTCTGTCTTGGGGTTTGACAGTTACTGAGCTATCTTCCAGCAGCTCAGGAGTGTTAGACAATGAAGACTACTACTAGCATTGATTTGCATGATTTCCTATTTGCTAGCCTAGCCTAGCAAGAAGGATTCTAGAATACCTTTTTCTTTCTTCTAGATGCTTTTATTTTATTATTATAGTCATTAATTTATTCTTTTCAATTTTATAATTATATTGGATATTACACTATAAAATGCAATTTATATAGGAAGGGAGAGACATTTATATTTTATTTCTATACATTTATACCTTGCGGCATACTCTACACACTTTAGAGAATTTATATAGGAACAGAGATACATTTATATATTTGTATAAAAGCAAAGCACTATGAAACACATGATGAAGCATGGTGGAAAGGCAGCTGGCAAGCCTTCAGGGTGGGGTTGAAGAGGGGGTAGAGAGAGAGCTGTAAGTTCCCCCCCTCCCCCAAACTGAGACATCCTCTTTCCTACACCTAGCAGCAATGAGGCTTCCAGAAGCGGCAACGAGAGGGGAGTAGTGCCAGTACCACTGCCCATGCTTGAGCCTGCATCCCTTCCAAGAGCATGAGCCATAATGTCCCCCACCACCACCATGACAACAAGCAGCAGCCCTAGCACCAGCATGGCAGCCTCCTCTACCCCCATTTCACATCCCATGCTGAGCCTTCCAGTGCCAGAGGGAGAGCTGGATCTGGATCTGAGTGCCATAGCAAGGGAAATTTTAGGGAAGGAGAGGGAATCAGCTGAGTTTGTGCTCCATACCACTCAAGTTTCCCATAGAGCCAGGTCTCCTTCCCCAGAAGACACTTCAGAGGAGTCTGAGTAGAGGGTGTGGAGGCAAGCAGCTCAGCTGAGTCCATTCCTCCTGTTGCTACGTCTCTGCCTGCTGAGGAGGGGGAAAGTGCAGCATCCATACATGTATCCACTCCTCAGAAGCGAGCAGGTAGTATGGTCTGGAATCACTCTGAGCTGGCAGATGATCCCACATACACTATCTGCCTGCACTGCTGAGCCAAAACTAGCTGCAGCAAGGAAACAAAACACATAAGTACCACGGGGATGCCGATGCATCTCCTCAGGCACCACCTTCTTGCCCTTGCTCCTCCTCAGCCTGGCAACAGTGGGAATGTGCCCAAAGGGAAGTCCCCCTCTCACTCCAAAGTCCCATCCCTCCAAAGCAGAAACAGGCCACCCTGGAACAGTGGGGGAAAGGTGAACAGATAGTGGGGCATGTTGCAAGGGTGAACGAGATCACCCAGAGCATTGAGGAGGGCCGGCCATCAACAGCAAGCATCTTCTCCTTAGCTGAGAGGCCAGGGTTCAAGCAGCTCATGGTGCTTGTGGCTTCACCCTACCAAGTTCCCACATGCACCACCTTCAGCAGAACACTAGTGCCCTCCCTGTATGAGGCATGGAGGGAGTACTTGAGGGAGGAACTGCACAAGAAAGGTCCACAGGTGGCCTTACACTTCACCTCAGACATCTGGAGCAGCTGGGATGGAGATCATGCCTACCTCTCCCTCACAGAACACTGGTGTGAACAGTCAGACCATCAGTGGGCTCTCCTTCAAGCTGAGGTGATGGATGGGGCCAATCTGGTCAAGGCGGTACATGATGCCAGCTTTGTTGGCATCCTCTGTGTGGCACACAAGTTCCACCTCGTAGTCAGGGATGCCTTGAAGGAGGACAGGGTTGCTGATGATAGTGCCAGCACCAGCAGCAAGCTCATTTCCAAATGCAGGAAGGTGGCAGGTTACTTCCACCAGAGCATCAAGGGGGTCAAGATGCTGTGGGACAAGGGAGCAGAGCTGAACATCCCACAGCACAAAATCATGAAGGATGTGGAGACTAGGTGGAACTCCACTGATGTGATGCTTAAGAGGCTGCTGTAGCAACAGAAGGTCATCCATGAGATGGCCTTGCTCGGGGAGATTGGGATAAGTGCCCCCCTTAACAGAGCTGGGTGGGATACCATCTCCCAGATCTTGGTGGTCCTCAAGCCTTTCCTCGAAGCCACTGAGACCCTTAGCACTGGCGATACCCTCCTTAGCCAGGTGATCTGTGTAGTGAGGAGAATTCAAAGCCAAATGGACAGCATCCAGGGGATCAATGTTCCTGGCTGGGACAAGCTGCTGTCACCAGATGTCTGAACACTGGTGAGGTGGCTGAAGCAGGAAATCAGGAAATGGCTTGATCATTTGTGGTCCAGTACGGTCCATGTGCTGGCTGCCATGTGTGAGCCGAGGGTGAAGGGGAGTGTCAGTGTATGCAGCAGCAAGACCCTGTATCAGTGGATAGAGGTGCTGGTGAAGAGAGTCAGGGAGCCAGAAGGGCGGAGGCAGGGGGTCGTGCAAGAGGGGGATCCACTGTCCCATGCTAGCCTGACATCCATTAGCCAGTCTCCTCCTCTACCACAGGTGCTGCCAACGTGGGCCAAGGGCATGGTTTCCATGGTGGGGTCCAGAGGCACCAGACCCCATCATCAGGCGGGTAGTGCTCAGACCTTGGTGGCTGCCTACCTCGCTGAGGATGTGGGGTCACTGCTGTGTGACCCTTTGGCCTACTGGGCAAGCCACAGCCAGATGTGACTGGATCTGGCCACGGTTGCCCAGGCACACCTGTCCTGTGTTCCGAGCAAGAGGGTGTTCAGCATTGCTGGGGATTTAGTGGCACCCCACCACACCTGTTTAGATCCTGGTTTGGTGGAGCAGCTGATGTTCCTCAAGGTGAACCTCCTGCCGCTGGGGTTCCTCAAGCTCCAGATGCAGATGGAGTGAGTGCCATCCTCCTCACTCCGTCCTCACCTATTTCCTTTTTTCATTTTTTAAAAGCCATTTAATGCCCTGCTTTCAGAGCTGGAGGGGGCTTTCACTGCATCATCAGCCAGCAAGGGAAGAACATGTTACTGCTGAGCTACCATGCCACAATGAACTTGGAGGTATGGACTGGGGCTATAGGGATGGAGAAGGCCCCAGTTCCTGGGCATGACCACTAAAACCACACTCTGCCAGAGTCGGGGAGGCCTGGTGGGACTGCTAGCAGTGCAGCAGCACCAGGAAAAGCCAGGAGCGAAGATTCCCCTGGTGAAAGATGGCTATGAGGTGCCATAACCTCCAGCCACCACATGCACGCACACAGTCCTGGCTGGGGAAAGCCAGACCTGTCATGTCTTTGACAGGCCTGAGGTGTGCAGTGGAGTTCTAAGGCTCCAGGTGAGCTCAGCTTAGCTGCCTGGGATGTCAGCTTTTGGATTGAAAACCCCTTTGTCAAGCTGAGGAAGCATCTGCAGTTGGTGTGTGTGCTGTTCCTGGATGGAAGGAATAGTAAAGAAGCCAGAGGCTGACATGCAACGCAGGCAAGAAAGCCAGTCAGTGAAAATGGAAATGGAGGCATCAGGGATGAAGGGACAGGCTGGGGTGGGGGAGGGGGAAAAGGGGATGTAGCAGCGCAGGTAAAAGTGGAGGGGTACCTGAGGAGTCAGATGTCCGTCAGGTTGTAGTGTGTCAGAATTCCAATGTCTATATTGAATCCATAAGTTTCTGTACCTACTACCTAGGAGGGTGATGAAGTGAAGTTCATAGGCCTGGCTGTGAAAAGTGGTTTGTAGATTCCCTTTCAGGATCAGGCCTGAGAGACTGGAGACACAGTGGGTTTTTTTGTGAGAAATGTGTCCCTACAGGTAGTTGGGTATTCTTGTCTTATAATAGATTCTGGTGTGCAGCTTGTGGGGATACTGGAGATTGTTGGCAGGTTTTGTGTTTTGAGCTGGAGAATATTGGCTTCTGGTGATGAAGTTAGGTTAGCAAGGTTTGGTGCTTGTTTGATTTTACAAACCACTTTTCAGAGCCAGGCCTATGAACTTTATTTCATCAGCCTCCTAGGTACAGAAACTCATGGACTCAACATAGACATTGGATTTATGACACACTACAACCTGCCAGACATCTGACTCCCCAGGTACCTCTCCACTTTTACGTGCACTGCTACATCCCCCTTCTGCCTACCCCAGCCTGTCCCTCACCCCCTGATACCTCCATTTCCATTTTCACTGACTGGCTTCCTTTCCTGCATTGCACGCCAGCCTCTGGCTTCTTTACTATTCCTTCCATCCAGGAACAGCAGACACCCACAAACTGCAGGTGTTTCCTCAGTCTGACAAGGGTTTTCAACCTGAAAGCTTGCTAAGATATATTTCTATAACTAGCTATTCAGTTGGTCTGCTAAAACATACCTGTTTTACCCAAAGGTAAAAGGAACCCAAAGGAAAGGAACTTGTCTGGCCGTGCCATGTCCTTAGACTAACGCCCCTAGCACCTGACCAGAAGGACACAGGGCCCTGGGCACATCTAAGCCAGGCAGGGAGAGTTCTCTGGCAGCTGTTGGAGAAGAAGCGCCTGCAGGAAAGAAAAGAAAGGCTCTAGTCTGTGACAGTTTGGCTGCCTGAGATGCTGTTAGTGCTACTGTGCTGCTTACTAAGTTATTACCTGTTGTCATTTAAAGTGGTGGACTGGGATGAGGCTGTAGGGGAGAAGGACACCTCATTGCAGCACATTACCTTGTCATGTAGAAGCCCCAGTGCCAGTGAGGGTGCGCCTTAACACACACACGGTGTCACCCATGTCACAAGTTTTGCTTGTCAGCAGCCTGAGGTGCAGTTTCCCAGAAACCCCTGCACCTATCTCCTTGAAAGCTGTCAGGCTCCATGGCCTCAGCAGGGCCTAACGTGTCTGCAGTTTTCAGCCTGCTGCACCTTAACACACACATTTGACATGAGAATTTGAGGTGCAGTTTCCCAGAAACCTCTGCATCTATCTCCTTGAAACTTGGTAGGCTTTATGGCCTCAGAAGGGGGATACTATCCCTGAAAGTTTCATCTGAATTAGGCAAGAAATGACAATGTTATAGGCAGTTTCATGCTTCCCCATTATAGCCTATGGGTGAAATGTCGAAACAGCATCAAAACAGTGAAACAGTTTCGACGAAACGAAATGGAACAGCTGTTTCAAAATTAAATGAACCTTGAAACGAAACACTGTCCCATTGAAATGGCAGTCAAAACGGAATGGTGCTGTTTTGCACAGCCCTACTTCTTTCTTCCTAGGAGATAAATTAATCTGTTACCTTGTTGCACAAATGGGAAGGGCTCCAAGGGGATGTGTCCAGCATGGTAAAAGCATGCTCTAGGTGGGACATTCCTAAACATGCCTTGGCCACCCGTTCCAACTGACACACTCCAGTACACTAAACAGCCTTCTCTAGGGTCACTCCCACTGACTACTCTATGGGTTCCAGGAGACTCTGGTTTCCAGAGTGGCCATAGAAAGACTTCTCCATGCAGCACTACTTCTGGGTTTGAAGTGTGCCAGGCAGAACAGGTGGGCATACATGTGGAGGCATACTGGCTGAAAAAACAGTGTTATCATAGTTTAAACATGTCTCATATGCCCCTACTTTCCACTTACTAGATTTCCCATTTTCTTTTGGATCAGTGATGGTCTAGTCTATTTTTTAATGCTGCATCTGATCTAGTCCAAAGTGATAACTTTACATCTAAAAAGACAAACAGAGAAATGCCATCAGGCAAGGCCTCATAACATTGGCCAATGTTACTGTGATTATATATAGTCATGATTTGACAAATATATGTAAATGCATTTAAGTGATATTTGAATACTAAGTTTCAGCTAATCATAATATTCATAAGCAACTAAGAATCACTTTATATAAATGCAGTTATAATGAATGCATTTAAAGTAGACATAATTTGCAAATGAATACCTTTAAATATTGCTTTTTTTACATTCACTGTTAGCAGAGAGAGAAGCATTGGCTGACTGTTCTCCCATGATATTTGTTAAATGTGTTAATAGGTTGCAGGGTTAAAATATTTTATTGTTCAATGGTATATGCTTACAAAATAATGAACGGTCTTTAACGACATGCAGGAAATTATACCAAGCAAAATCTACTTGAATTTTCCAGGCTGTTATGAGCAATAACAGAATTTTTTTTTGTTGCTAGAAATAAATTCATATAAAACCTTATTCATAAAAAAAATCTTAGTCCAGTTCCAAATCTGGCCTCTGTTCTTACAAGTTCATCAGCACATTTGTTACTTCTTAAATAGTCTCACTGATTTAAATGAGATTCTTTGAGCCTATAAGTTAGTAACTTCTGCAGCTATCTGAAGGATTAGTACCTGCATTAGCTAGGATAAGGGTACATATGGCATGTTTGGATATTTAAATATGCATTCAAACTTTAGGCACTGACATGCAACTTGAGTGCCCAAATAAAAGATCATAGTGGGTGTATTTAATGAGACACTTTACTGCACAGAAGATTAATTTGCTACGCAGTAAAGAGTCACCATCTACACCTGCACAGCAATTAGGGCACTGCAGACTAATCTACTGTGCTACTGGATAGTGCTGTCAGATACAAGTGGGATCCAGCACCACAGTAAATTATGGGGCTTAAACTCAGGTATAGATGGTGACATTGAGATTAGTTTACTCCATTGTGTAAACCACGTACAGCAAAAGCTCTGTTATCTGGCACCCATGGGTAATGGGGGGTGCTGGATAACCAAATATGCTGGTTACCTGAAAGGCCCAAACAGGAGTCTTTGCCCGTTCAGGCTGCTCTGGGTGTGCCAGGGGTCAGGAAGGGAGGTCCTGTGCAGGCTGCTTTGTGCTGGGCCATGGGGGCTCAGCAGCGCAAGCTGCTTTGCCCCTGGCCATGGGGACTCAGCAAAACCGGAAGTGCCATGGTGGGCACTTCTGGTTTCACTTTTGCTGCGTCGACTGGCCTGCTGGTTAATGGAGAATGCTGGTTTCTAAGGTGCTGGATAATGTGGCTTTTACTGTAGAAAACTGGGCCCTATGTTGTCCTTACTTCAGGGCTGTACACCAGCTTCTAGCATCACTTACAATTCTGCTGAACTATGGTATAAATAACACATGCTGAACCCTACCCTCCCAAACTATATTTGGAATCACTTGATATTACTACTACCACTACTACTGCTGCTGCTATTACAAATCTGCTTCCTGAGTGAATAAAAATGTCATCTTTCAAAAAAACTCTGAGATTTGTATATGGGGGATAAATTCTGACAAGTTGTTTTGTTGTTGTTGTTGTTATAAAACAGTAGCAATTATGTCAATTAAATTAAATTCCTTAATGTGAAAATGGTCTACCAACTTCAAAATAATGAGAGGAGAGGGGCAAATTAAACTGAAGGAAAGCATACCTTATGGTCTGTCAATTGTCTTTGTTTGATACTGAAACAATCTTGTGCAACACAGAAAGCAAATGGATCATATTTCTCCAACTGTCCAGGACTTAACTCCTAATAAAGCAATAGCACTTATTCACAACTATTGCCATTAATACCATGATGTTGAGGCCACAAAGGCTGTAATGCAGTTTTCAAGGCATCTATATTTTTAGCAGTTTCACAGAAGGATCCAAACTGAAGCTATGGAATTGACCATCTCTGAGGTGTTCAAATCCCAACCTGAATTTTGAATTATGGTTTGCAGAAAGTCTCATGCTTTTGCAAAGAGACTAACTAAATCTTTGGAGTTGAACATTCCTCAATTCGAAATTTTGATCTGGATGTAATTGTTCACTTGATCCCAATTGCTATGAAAACTCTTCATGAGGACCTACTGTTTTGTCTTCAGGGAAGAGGTCCTTTACTTCTCATATGATCCTTAATATTTTGCTTAACAATTTCTGTACTCCCTATCTCATAGAACTGTAAGGCACTTTCATGAAAATACTAAAAATCTCATAAGACAGACCAAGAGGCAGGAAGGCAGGCAGACAAACTGGCTGCTGTATCACAGGTATTTAGACTACTATGTCCATTACAAATATTTGCCATAGTCAACGGTCCTATTTTAATCAGCACTTTCCTCCCATTTCTGTCTGATGAAAAGCATCAGGAGATCACTGTGGCTCCCCCCCCAAAAATCACACAATCTTTGAAAATGAGAATTGCTGCCATAAAGCATCTATTTTTGGAAACAAACATCTGAAACCTTGGCTTCTTAGATGCTGGATTCTGTAATTCTGCAGTGTGTAAGATTTCTATTGACTACAATGAAAACTATGGGTATGGTAGTGACACAGTATAGGGCCAAATGGCATCAACAGACATTCTCAAAAATCTGTAATTTTATTATAAGATTAGAAAAATACTATATGAGTAGAAAAGAAGTCAGCAATGTTTAATAAGAATTATTTTTTTTAATTTTGTTTACTAAAACAATATTTTAGATTAACAAATTATTTTTGGACTATTGTTCCTAAACATGCTAATCCTGCAACAAAAGCCCATATTTTAGGTGTTGCAAAAATACACATCAAAGCTATTTTTTTAGAAAATCAAGGAGGAATCCTGTTGGGCAGTTGTATTGTTCACTATGAGCTGGTTGATTTTATAGACTTGAGATAAGCAATAAATCTTTTTTCACATAAGAGAATAAAAGTAGGTCTTCTAACCCTTCCTGTTCTTTTGGATCAAAGGCTACTGTACTATTCTGACATTAAGACTGAAAAAAGAAAGGAGTTTTAATTCCAATTGCCAGATTCATCTCTACAGAGGCTGGTTATAAATAGTGAAAAATATAGAGGCATCAGTAGTAAGAAAGTGTGTAGGACTCCTGGTCCACTGACTAAATGGCATCTTTCAATCTGATATAAACATATATAAACATAATAGCACAAGTTATGTATAAATTCTTCATCACTTGAAGTCTTTAAAACACAGCTGTGTGCCTTTCTAAAACACATAATGCTGTTTGGTCTCATGTTATTCAGTTCAATGCATGAATCATTCAGAGAAATCTATGGCCTGTGCTATATTAGAGGTCAGGCTGGACAATGTGAGGTTCCCTCCTAGAGTTAAAACCCATGAATTAAACAAAATTGAACTAACTGCAAGAATCTTTCTGCTTTTTAAAAGTAAATACTATATTTAGAAAAGCTCCATGTAAACAAAATGTTCAAAGGTCCATGCTCACCAGGAGCATCTACATGAGACACTAAAGGTGCAGTAGTCTAATTCTACTGTGCCTTAAAATGGCAGGCAAAAAAACCTGTGCTAATGCACAGTAGGATTAGTCTACTGCGCATTAGTGTCACAAAAAAGTGTGTGCCAGCACTACTGTGTAGTAGTGCCAATTACAGCACATTAAGTTAGTAATGCACCACAATTATGGCACATTAATGACCATATAGACATGCCCACCAAGTCCTAAACTAATCCCAATAGGATAGATGATGTGTAAAATATACCAAAAGAATCTTCAATACATCAATATCAGCCTGAAAATGGTTGTACTTTTGACTCCTTATCTGTTCTTACCAGTATAAATAGTATGAGATGTCAGTTCTTTTGATGGGGTTCTTTTCTTTTCTTCCCCTTTTTCAAATTCTAAAAAGAAGAGTTACTTGTATAACAGAAGGGAACAATATCTGTTTCAGGATTTTAGTAAGTCTATTTCTTAAATATTTATAAGTCATTGTACTTAAATGTTATGCCATTGCACTCTAAGTGCCATTCCACCCTTTCCCCCCCCTTACTTTCACATTAACTTGCAGTATTGGGGTAATGCATGGGAAAAATTCCTAATGAGTGTTTAACCTTCCATTTTTCTTAGCAAATAGTTATTTTTTTACTGTAACACTGTAAATAACAAAATAGTTGAGCTTATACAGAATAATTATTCTAAATATCTTGAAAAATCACTTCTCAACTTCAGCTTCTACCGAAAACAAACTACCACAAAAAATAAGTACTGGACAACATGCATATTACTCAAAGGTTTCTAATTGTTTTTGCTCTTCATTCACTAATTAAGCACCTTCCCATTTTTCAGAAACATTGTAATATTCACACACCCAGCAGTGACAATTTACATGATTCAGACTTTTTGGATTCAAAGTCCCTAATCAATTGCTATGTAAGAAATACAATCAAATAAAATAGACTGCTTCCCACGTAGATTTGTCCTGCCACACCCCCAAATGAATGGTTTAGGGTTTGGTACAAACTTCAGCGAAACTGTCTTAAGCACTGCACAGCTGAATTAGAATCAGCTCTCAGGAGAACCGAGGCGGCAAAATAACTTCAAATGTAAGGTTGCTTTGAGATTTGCAATTTCTTTGTTTTTACCTGCTACCTTCCTCAAGCTTTCAATAGTCACACCGAGTAAAGAGTGAATTTTTGACAGTTTACAAGTACACGTGTTAATTGGTTTATGAGTAATAATTATTTTAAAATTGCCCTCTTAGGACTTTTAAAATTCTTTTCTAATCCCCTGGCTAACAAAAGGCTTATAACTAGAGCCTTGTACCATTCACATAATAAAAAACCTCATTAAAAAACAGAACTTGTCACAAAAAAGCCAACATTTTACCTACAGAAAATGTCAGTATTTTTTTTCCTTGTCTAGCTTTGTTTCCCATTAAACTTTTTGTTTAGAAACAGAACACCTATTCATTTTTGTTTCAATTTGATGCAAAAGAAATTTTGTTTGATTTTAAAATATCAAAATGTTCCTCAACAATTAATTTGCATGCTGCAATTAACTTCACTTTAAAATGTTGGTGGTGAGACAGAACATCTGGTCAAGAGTTCTGCCTCATTAGAGGATCTTCTAATTGAAAGAAGGAAACCTCTCCCTCTCCCCCCATCCACTAAAACATCAGGAAGAAACAAGCTACAAGCCTCTTAGCCTAGAGCATGGTGAACAGCATAAGCAGAATTAAGTGGCAGACTGATTTTGACCCAAAGTCTGTGGAGGTGCTCTGTAAGCTGCTCCAACCACTAGTGCTGCTCTGAGACTTCTGGGAGAGATGAAGTATTTTGCGGCTGTCTTATCCAGAAGCTCCTGAACAGGAGGCAGCCAGTATAGACATTTCATAGTGATAGTATTGCTGGGACCTAATATACTTAAAGGATCTTTAATCTAGGAGCTGGTGAAGTAGAGAGAAAGAATGGTAGAGAAGTATATTATTTTACTTAGATTATGAAATATTCTTTTAGGTATTTACACTTAATACTAAATTTACTTAAATAGAAGATGGCCCTGATTATAAGATGACCCCCCTCCACCAATAATTAGATTCTTAATATGGAAAACATATACATTTGTTATAACTTTCCAGGTATAGAATCTAAATACTGGACATTTGTGTTGAATTTGTCCCTTTTCCATTGCTACAGCGGAGAAAATAAATATGGGGAACCAACTTCTCTTCTGGCAGCCCCTTTCCTCTCTCTTTACCATCAAACCCTACTACCCCTGAGCACAAAAAAGTGAGGAGCAAATTTGAAAACAATAACCTTGACATTAAATATGGCTACCACAATTTGCACATAGCACCCATACACAGTCCATAGAGAATTAATGCGTGTTACCTTTTTTTTAAACTGCTGAAAGTTTTAGCACAGGTACTCCATAAACACAGTTTTAAACAGCATGTACTTCTATGTACTTATATGTTGTACAAAAAAGTATGAGTATAAATGCCCTTAAGGCTGGTGAAAATCTTCTACAGCAACTGTCAAATGGAGTATGCTCTTGTGGTGCACCAAATAAGTGGTACAAAGAGTTTCAGCATTGACCCAGGGTCGTGGGAGCAAATCACTCATTACTGTCCATCCTGGAGATCATCAATCCACAATGGAGCACTGGCCTTCAAACAGCAATGCACAGCAGAAGCGATGAAGAAACGCATGGCCAGGAAAACAAAAATCTCACACATCCAATTCTCATCAGTTTCCTGCCCCTGCTGCAGCAGATTGTTCAAGGCAAGCATGAGACTTATAAGTCACCTATGTACCCATGCCGCCTAGCTTTCAGCCCTATCCCTTCCTCTTTCCTCTCTTTCTTTTTTCCTTTCCTCCCTTCCTGTTCCTTTCCCACTTTTTTTCTCTCTCCCCCCACTCTGCTGGATGCAGTCATCTTCATCCATAAAGGATAACTAAGATATGTAGTACAAACTATGCATGATATTAGTTCAAAACCAAAGGCTCGTGATTTGCTGCATACTTCAGTGGCCTGGACTCCATCAGAGTCAACAGCATTTCAAGCCATGGTGACCCCACAGCTCAGTACTGCTTAGTATGTGTGTGTATTCTAGATACCCACCACAAAGGATCCATGTGCTAAGTAGCTCCCACTCATGGCTGGAACCAAGTGTTCTTGTCAAGAGTCTTGGGACACTCCAAAAATGTATATGTAGATGAGGTTCAGTCCAACCCAGTCCAGTATCACCTCATGGAGGGTGGGGCCACACTAGTCATATGCACCAAGCTGAGAGAAGGGGTGACAGAGGGATTCTGGGTGAACTGTTTGAGTCCCTATTTGTTGATGTTTCCCAGACATTTCAGGCATTTTTACATATGCAAGTGCCATAGTGCTGGGCGCTTTGAAAAGTGCCGACGCTGCAATGCTTACAGTTGCGTAAGTGCCAAAATGTGCATCAGTGCTGAGAAAATGGTAGTGGTGCACTCTTGAACTAAAACACATTGGAGGTGCTTTAGTTCAAGAGTGCACTGACACTGTTTTCTGCATGCTGACATGCATTTCGCTACTTATACAACTGCACATGGTGCAGTTCACCTCAGCTCACCTGTGGAGCAGACTTGATTAATCTCTTGATTAATCAAGTCTGCTCTGAAGAAGCAGATCTATGGTATATTGTGGGATAAAAAAGTATGTGTATAAATGTCCTTAAGGCTGGTGAAGAGACAGAAATAATTGGAAATGGGAAAAGAACATACAGCTCAGCTGTGGGAGTGAAAAGGAAGTAAAAATGTATGCAATGTCGTGGCTCACTAGGACTTGAAAAAGAATCAGTGGTGAAGTGGACTATGCTTAATGGGCACTATCATGCATCTTACCTGGCAAGAGAAATACCATAAACAAGAAGGTGGTTTTTCCACATTGATTATTGGCTCCCGCTGCAGTTAAAACAAGGTCTGGGTTCCCCCTTCTCATGCAACACAGGGTGGGGGGAGCTTAGCTTTAACCCTGAAGCTTGGTGCTGCTAGACCCCTACACATCAGCAAGATAGAGAGGCCTCCAGAATACTGCTCTGTAAAGTTCAGGGTAAAGAAGCAATATTTGGAGAACCCAGGGAAGCTGCCCATGGCAAGGAAAGAGTTTGGGGTGAAGATCCTCCAAGAGCTGCTGCCAGTAAACTGAAAATTTGCATTGACTCATTGATACGCAGGAAAGGGCAGAGTGGTAGCTATTCTTTAAAGATGCAAAGAGCAGGGAAGAGTTCTGGGTGCAACTGCAGGCATCCCTGAACAACTCCCTACTGAAGTTTTTTGAATTTGCTGTTGAAACCTCAAGAAGGTAGACACTGTAGACAATTAAACTGCATTCCAGCCTAGTAAAGGAAGAGGATTTGAGGTTCTGGCTCCAAAAGCAGTGTCAGAGAAATGGAAAACTGGTGAAGGTCCTGGATGAGCTGGGACTGTGGACTGGAGCCTGAAGAACCTAGGCTGTGCTCAAAAGCAAGCCTAGGAAAACCAAGAGAAGTGCAGCACCTCCATCTGCTTGGCATCCTATAGTGGTTTCATCTTCTACCAGGGGCAACCTAAGCTCTGCAGAAAATGTGGGAAGGAGGGTCACCTGATTGTGCTGTGTGCAAGAAAAAGGGGCATGAAGCCAAGGAGTGTGGGAAGGAATGAAAGTGTAATCTGTGTGGAAAAGAGGGACACATCTTTAAAGGGTGCCCCAGAGCCTATGCTAATGTTGAAAAAGGGAAAACAAGAGAAAAATGCCAGAAAGTGATCTCTCTCACAATGCCCAATTGATATCAAGAAGACAGAAAGTACCACCCCCCCAACACACACACACACACACACACACACACACACACACACACACACTGCCCCACTGAAACTAAAGGGGCAGAAACAGAGGGGAAGGGGGCAGAAAGGCCCCCAAAAAGAGAAGAGGAAGAAGGGGAACCTCTCTCCAAAAAAGAGAAACAAACCTGTGCTCAGGAAAATATGATAGGCTTGAGAAGGATGGCTGAGGAACTTGGAAAACAAGAGGTGGAGGACAAACTGGTTGTAGAAATGGAAAGGATAGGAAAGGAGGAACAAGAAAGGGATACCCAAAGCTCCCAAGGGGATGATAAGGAAAGAGCTCTGGAAGAGGAGGAGGAAAATGAAGGCTGTGACATGGAAGTAAAGGGAGGAAAGAGGGAAACCAGAATCCCCCACTAACCCCACTTCCTCCCCTCCCCCCCCCCAAACTACTGGGAGAAGCAGGTTCCCCAAACACAGACCAGAGAGCAGGAGGGGCCACAGTCCTGGAAAGGGACCCACAAACAGATGGGACAGATGAGTCAGGAGAGGGGAGAGAGCCCCAAAACCTCTAAGCTTAAACTAGGAAAATGAGAAAGCTACA